TATAGTATAGTTTAAACAGTAAAACAAGGTTTGAAAAAGGCAGCGGAGAGGCATTTCTATCTTTATTATTGGGTCTATAAAATGGGCTTGAAAATATTGTTGGGCTGAACCCTAACTACCAGAACCCCCGAATAGAAAAAATCCGGCACAAACGCGAGCGGCCCTGGTGAGCAACTAGAGTTTCGTGTCTCGTTTCTGCTTCCAGTGTTTCTTGTTATCACCCTGCAGCTGCAATTCACTGTCTCTGAAGACCCTACTGTGTCTGCAGAGAAATTCAGTAATGGAAGAAGAAACTCAAGTTCTGAAATTCAGAGACATCAGGCGTTATTTCTTGCGATTACTGTGGCATCTGTTGTTCCAAGAAATCTCTGATTACATCCCATGTTCTTACTCATCACAAGGTTTCCATCTGTTTCTCTTGGTATACATTGAAATTGGTCGAATTGAAGGTTTCTGAAATTATGGATTTGGATTGTTGCGATTTTTCCATATTTAATCAATGCGAAAGTTTGCCTTTTCGTTTAGTTATGTATTGGTTCTGGAGAAAGTTGCTTTAATCAAACAAGAATAAGGAATTTATTTATTCTTTTGAATTTGGCTTCCATTAATTTTTCTTCGTTGTTTTCATATGTTATCTGGGTTTTTTTTGTTGGTTAGGAAGAGATGGGTTAGGAAAATGCAAATGCTAATGAGATGGAGGAGAAGAGGGGGGACGATCCAATACTTGCCAAGAATGTTGGTTTTTTCTTAGATGTTTGCTCTAAATTTTTGAGTTCCTATATTGAAGATTTATAATTTTGCAGGAATTTTTAGAAAAACAGAATTTTCGATTATAGCGTAAAGCATTGGATCCAAAACAAAAGAACTGCAAAATGTGAGAGGCTGTTTGTGTTACTTGAATGGACCAGCATCAGGTTGGGAGACCTCCTGAGAAGCTCCATCAAGTGAGCCTTAGAGCCTATTTGGTGCAGCTTGTGAGAGGTTTTACTTTTTGAGTATTATTATGAGTGAGAAATTTAAATTTTTATTGGAGAGAAAAATAGAGTTTTAGCTTTTAAAAAGGTGAAAAAATGAGTAAAAAGTAAGTAAAAAGAGAGTTTATGAGAAATTTAGATTTGAAACTTTTGAATTTTTACTGTTTAAAAGCTTTTTAAGGTTAAAAAAATATTTAAAAATATAAAATTTTAAAAAAAAAATTTAAATTCATGAGATATAAATAATGTCTAGAAGCTAAAGTTCTTATGAACCACACCAAACAGCTCTTAGTCACGCGCTGTTCCTCTTTGAGGTTTGAAGGCTTGTTCGTATAGGTGTCTTTTTTTGGTCTGCCTTTATATGTTTAATCATTGTTAGTTACCTACAAAATCGTAGCTCATACTTCCTTTGAATTTCTTAAGAGACCATTTATCTGTTCAGCTGCTGACTGCACTGCTAGCTACAGAAGAAAAGACCATTTGAATCGTCACTTTCTTCAGCATCAAGGAAAACTATTCAACTGTCCAATTGAGGACTGTGGTAAAGAACTTGCATTTCAAGGTAACATGAAAAGTAACATGAAAAAAAGAAAAAAAGAAAAGAAAAAAAAAAAAGGTAACATGAAAAGACATGTGAAAGAGCTTCACAGTAAGGATTTACCTAATAATAGTGTTGCTGGTCAGGAGCAGCATGTCTGCCAGGAGATGGGATGTGGAAAAGGGTTCAAGTTTGCATCAAAGCTTAAAAATTAAGTATGAGGATTCCCTTGGCAAGTTGCTTATTCACTCTAGAAGATTTTTGAAATTTTTTTACCAAGCATATGATTTGATGTCTGAGTTTCAAATGTGTACAGATGCGCATGAGGATTCTTGATTTGATGGTTTGGCAATTTATCTGCTGTCTAATGAGTGCCTTTATTTTTGCAGTTAACCTGGATTTAGTTGAGGCCTTCTGTTCTGAACCTAATTGTATGGAATATTTCTCTAATGGGCAACCCCTTAGGGACCATGAGCAATCCTGCCACAGTTATATTACCTGTGAAATATGTGGGACCAAGCAGCTGAAGAAAAACATCAAGCGGCATGTCCTCTCACGTTATTATTATTATTTTTAATAAATTCGTAAAAGGTCGAATTTGAATCGGTGTTTTAAAGGTGAGGAAATGCACTTGTGACTTGACATTACTATGCCTAAAGGTCCAAGTGCATCCTCTCACGTTAATTAAGAACTTCCTCAGAGAGAATTAAATATGATTTTGAGAGTTGTTTCCACACGTTTTCAACTGTAAGATAATTTAAGTGCATTAAATTTATTATTTTATAATAAATTTTTATTAAAAAATATAAAAATAAAACTTTATTTTTAACCCTAATATCACTTGAATGATTTTAATTAAATAGTTGATAAATTTAAAATTAATTATTATTATTTTTATATATATTAATAAAAAATACAATTAATATTTATTTAATTTATACTTTAAAAATACAAGTTATACAAATTCTTTTGAAATGAGTTTATAATGGGTTTGTCAATCATTGCTTCAGATAAAAATCCCATTCAAATTCTTATTGTAAATAAAGCAAACCAACTTTTTTTTTTTTTTTGAACAAGTGGTCAAGCGCGGGTTCGAATCCACCAAGGAAAGAGGAGGAGTGCACTTCCAAAGTAGCCCGAATGTCACTTTTTTCTGGCCAAGTGCAAACAAACCAACTTATTATACAAGGGTTTGTCTAACTTGTCTATCTAAAGTAAATAATGATTGATAAACCCATTTCCATAAATCAAATTTACATAAGCACGAATTCCACCAAGCGGCTTGATGGTCGCGCGTCTGATTGAGGTTAATGGACTGTTCACGTGATCTAGGGATCAAATCCCCAGTTATTAACATTTAACAATACTAATCTACTAATCATTGTCTTTATAAAAAGAAAAAAAAATTTACATCAGCACGTCAAGGCCGTGCACGAAGAACTTAGACCTTTTGTCTGTGGCTTCTCAGGATGTGGCAAGAGATTCTCATACAAGCATGTGAGAGATAACCACGATAAGTCTGTCCATGTTTATCCTCCAGTAAGTTAACCGTTTTATCAACATTTTGGTATCCTCTTTACAAGAATTTATAAATATTGTTGGATTAGGGTTTCACACCATTTATTTCTGTTAGGATGATTTTGTGGAGTCTGATGAACAATTCCAGTCTAGGCCAAGGGGTGGGCGAAAGAGAACGATCCCTTCTGTGGAAATGCTAATACGGAAGAGGGTCACTCCACCTCAAGTGGATAATACTGTGGATCAAGATGCTACTTACAATTGCTGTCACAAGATCTGATCAGTACTGGCGTTGAGATTGCATCCATATTGGCAATGAGAGTATGCTTTTTGGAAGTAGGCATTGACATGTCACGTTGTGTAAGGCGTTTGTATAATCTGTGGTTCTCTTCCGCCCTGTTAGAGCACGTTAAGGAATCGATGAAATTAGTCCATGTAAATCGTTTATTAGTCCAACAAATTGAAGAAACGCTCAAAGCACAGCAAATTCGAAAAGGAGAACAGAATCATCATTGATTCTGTTCAACGGATTGATTGTAAAAAGCCTAACAATAGTTTGTAATTGGGTCATACAAATATAATTCCATTCTCCTTAATGGTATCAAGAACAATACCAAGTTTACCCTCGATTTGCTCGCCCTTCCTAGGCTCATAAGACATTGCATATACATCAGCTTCCTTTGATCGGTCTGCAATAAGTTTTCCTATAACTCTGCATGCATTATGATCAGTGAGTGATGGCAAGGAGTGTCTGAGGTCCTTGGCATTTGTTGTGGCAACAGATATCACTTTGCTCGTACCACGGTGCATCACTTTTGCATGAATAAATTTCTTTGAGAAGAAAACATTTAGTAAAAATGGCCTCATGTACATATCAGTCTTCTGCTTCCAAGATTTTCTGCTGGGTCTTTCTGCAGCTTCACCACGCGATCTCCTGGTCCAGGCAGCTTGAACAAACAAACCCTAAAAATGTATGTTAAGAATTTAGATTCTTTAACATTCCCTCAGCAAAGTTGGCAAGAGCTAGTGTCTAAACTAACATGTTATCATCAAAGAATCTGAAGCAAAACGGAAATTTCCCTTACAAATTAGTTGTTCAATTAGCAGAAAAGAACGCAAGTCCCATTATAAAAAGGAAACAAGAAACAGAGAGGGAGAAAGAGGAAATATTAGCTGTAGCTGTCATGCAGACGCTAAGGCAAGTTGCTTCTGATGACAATTATATTACCTACTAATGACTTTTCCGAGAGTTAAAAATTTTCCTTTGTCATGCAAGGAGATCAAACATAAAAGTTTAAGTTGCCAACCTTCTTACCAATCAATTTCCTCTCTCTCTAGATAGCTAGTTTACTAATAGCAAGCAATCCAGGTCGAGTTTCAGGCAAATAAACAATTGTTGGGAAGAATCACAAAATGATGTAAATGATTTGGTCTCTTCTTTCTTCCTCCTACTTCTTGCTCCAAAAGGCATCATACCTCACCTGGGCCCTAATTTTATAGTGAATTTAGTGTTTAATGATGAAATTTCTCCAACTTATAAGGACCAAAAAACGTCATAATGTCTCAGGTATACTTGATCAACAGGATTTACAAAACTATGATATTGGTTATCTGGAAAAATGTAAATGCTTAAGATAAGCCAAGATTTTTATTTTGATCTGACATCAAACCACCCATTAATTGAATAGACTCCTATCCAAAGTTGTTAAGATTATTGTTTTTTTCGAGTTTGCAAGCTGAAGTCATGAAATTTGATAGGGAGAATTCTTACTTCTTAACCATCTGAGCAAGTTAATTTATATGTTCCTGATCCCAAACATAACATGCATTGCCTGTTCCATCATTAAACTTGGTGGAAGGCTAGAAGCAAAACATCCATAAACCTAAATTTAAATTTCCTCTAGAAAACATAGATGAAAAAAGTTTTTTAAGACCAGAAGAGTCAGAACTAACCAATCTTCTCTTTTCAGCTATTTGAAACCAGAAAAAAGCAGATAATTTTCAAAATCAGAGGACAAAAACAATCCACCATTAGTATCAAAGAAAAAAGCAGTAGTCCCACACTCCCACTCATCTAGAAGAGCAAAGAACACCAACACAGGAAGAATCAGATTTTCCCAATTCAATTTTCAGGCAAATACTATAGAGAAAAAAAAAAAGATACCAAAAATTAAAAATTTAAGCTTGTGCATCATTATCCCAACAAATAAGCAGAAACCCATTTTAAAGATAGCTGAACTCTCCATTCCTAGCCAACCCCAAAAGGCAGTAAGCAGATTATCAGCATTTCATCCACATTTTCTTTTAATTTTCCTCAAAATCTCCAGGAAATCAACACAACATTGAAGGGAAAAATAAAAAAAAAAATCCAAAAACAGAATAAGGAAGAGGGATACCTTGTGGCGTGTGGGAGCAGGAGGGATTGTGAATGAATTAAAGGAGATGTTGACGCTTGGAAACGAAGAAACCCATGATAAAGAGGTGAACTTGGACTGGCGAGCTGGGCGGGTCGGGAATGAGTCCGGTGACCGAGTTGATATGACTGAAGGAGAAGAGGAAGAACTTATGCAGGACATGTCTTGTATTGAATCTCCACAGATTTTTGGTTCTTTTTTTTTGGCCAACAGATTTCGATTCTTGAAATGAAGGATTTTTCTTTATAACGCCGTCATATACAGTTCTGGATTTTTTTTTTTAAATGAGTTTCTGGCCCAGAATCGGTCCGTGGCCATTTCTAGACCCAAGTAATCACAACACCCTGTTGGGCCCAGTCTCAGCTATGACTAATAGACTATGAGCTGAGCTCCTCTGTCTTAACTTAAGGGGCCTTGTGGATCAAGATAGACTCTAATGGGCTGCAGTTTAGGGTTCTAAACCAAAGTTGTCAATCTCGTACTGTACCGGCTGGTATGGCCGGTATGTACCGGTTTTGACACTTGACTGAAACGGTGCAGCATTAAATTTTGTTTCGATCAAAATTCGGTCGTTCCGATCAAAATCCGGTGTACCGACCGGAATTTCGTGTACCGGCTGGTACACAAAATTTCGGCCAGTACACTTCATGCCCCCCCCAAAAAAAAAAAAAGGATTTCCTTGCCCAAAACAACGTCGTTTTGGTCAAGGGCTTTTAAGTTTTAATCCTTCCCTGCAAATATGCAATTTCAGATCGAGCATACTTTGCGAACATAGCCTTGCCCTCCGATCCGACTTTCTTCACCGGTGGTGCAGGGTGTGCAACTGCTGCTGCTCCTCCTTCCTGTTTTGTGAGTCGGCGCCCTAGATCTTGGACTTGGTGAACCGGTGGTGCAGGGCTAGATCTTGCATCTTGTTTCTCTTCACCGTCTCCAGCAACCGAGCTTCATCTCCAGTAGCCGAGCTCCGTTCACCCGTCTCCAACAACCGAGCTTCATCTCCAGTAGCCGAGCTCCGTCCCCAGCAGCCGAGCTTCGTGTCCAGCAACCCAGCTCTGTCTCCAGCAACCCAACTCCGTCTCCAGCAGCCTAGCTCCGTGTCCAGCAGCCCAGCTCCATCTCCAGCAACCCAACTCCATCTCCAACAGCCTAGCTCCGTGTCCAGCAGCCCAGCTCTGTCTCCAGCAGCCTAGCTCCGTCTCAGGTATCTTGCATGATTTCCTCTCGCTTCTCTCGGTTTTTATTTTTCTTTGTTAATTTCATTACTAATTGAAATAGTGAATATCTTTCCTTTTGAATTTTGGTGCGATTGATTTGCAATTTGGTGTGAATAAAAACAGTACTGCTTTGTCAAGTTGCTCCCATAATAAATCTGTGAAATTGTGCAATTATTAGTTTGTTAAATCATTAGGCTCACATGGTGTGGTTGATTGTTGCAATTTATGAAACAATTGTTATTTTTCTGTTTGTAGGATATCATGAATACTAGTGGTTCTGGCAATGGCACAGGAGACTCTATTGGATCCACTCCTTCTAAAACAGATGATCCTGCTTGGGCTCATTGTTTGATTGTCCCAGGTAGAACGAATCAGACTAAATGCTTATATTGTGATAAGCTCATACTAGGGGGTTTTCTCAAATCTTGTTCTTAATTATGTTAATTTCTTTTATAATTATTTTAAAATTTGATATTTAATTTATAAAAATATATATTTATAGCGATAAATCCGAAACGGTACGCGAAAAATTCTGGTATCCGGTACGTACCGTTTCAGTAGCAAAACCGGTACGTATGTCGGTACGGTATTGACAACTTTGTTCTAAACTCTAAATAGGGTTATTATTATTATTATACGTAGAAGTAGTTGGTTTTCGTCTCAAAATAATAAATTGACATAATTTTGTAGAGATGAAT